CAGCACACTAGTTTTGGGTGCTGAGACAGTCAGAACCAAAACAAATAAAGTGACAGTGGGCCCAAAAAAAAAAAAAAAGCACACCATCTGTACGTGCTGAGACCTGAGTTCGACTGCAGTTGAATCAGACGAGTGAAACTCGCCTATAGCTCAGTTGGTACACCCATGACCTGTTGAAAAGCAGACCTGAGCTCGACTGCAGTTCAATCAGACGAGTGAAAACAACTCTGAATTTACCTGCAGCTGGTCAGTTCAGAGACGATGTCTCAACGCCGACAACCCTTATAAGAAAAAGAAAAAGAAAAAGGAAGAGCTGAGACAGCCAGAACCCCAACAAACAGAAAGCAAAAAGAAAAAAGGCAGCAAAGACGACCAAACAAACAAACAAAAAAAAAGGCAACGAGAAAGGACAGATCTGAAAAAGTAAAATAGGAGAAACAAAGAAAAGCCAGCAGAGTCCTTCTGGACATCCGTTAAAATTGGAACGATACAGAGAAGATTAGCACACGCATAAATCGAGAATTGGTCCAAATTACAAAAAAAAATAAAAGTCAGCAGATCCTCTGTTGGTTAACACAATCCTCGAACCCGTTTTTTTTTTGGGTATCCCTGCAGTCTTTGTTGTTAGGGTAATACCCTAAACACTGAAACTGGTGTTTTTCCTTTTCTTTCCTCCTTTTCCATGCTGCCTTTCTTTTTTTTTTTTTTTTTTGGGGGGGGGGGTATCCCTGCAGTCTTTGTTGTCAGGGTAATACCCTAAACACTGAAACTGGTGTTTTTCCTTTTTTTTACTCCTTTTCCATGCTGTTTGTTGTCTTTTTATGCATTTATTTACTCAATAGAGAGCTATGGTGGTACAAAGTTATCTCCCTACCTCCCTCCACTGAGAGAGATAACCTCCCTTCACCGAAGTAAGATAGAAAGCTATGCTTGCAAGGGTCCCCTGTATAGCCTTAGCTGTCCCCCTGTAACATAAGGCACTGCCAGAGAATAGCATTTGCCAATTGATCAAATGTTTGCAAATCTTTTGGTGGTTACAGAGTGTGGCGGCATGCAGCTCATTACTCCTCACTGATATTCCTAAATATGAGCGACATAATACATATATAATTATCAAGGACAAGAAATTGAAGTGAGTGCTGTTTGACGGGAGGGCGTGCTTGTGGGAGGGGGGGAAGGGGGAGGCAGCGGAACCACACCACAATGAGGGCAACTTACGTCTCTGAGAAAGATTTCTTGGTGTTCTTGTGCAGATTTGAGACTGCTATCCGTGCTGCAAGCTGAAAGCAGACACAAGTTTCCCCCCCACCAATCCCAACAATACAATTGTGTGCGCCCACGCACGCACACACACACACACACACACACAAACACACACACACACACACACACACACACACACACACACACACACACACACACACGAGCACACACACACAAGCAAACACACGTTAACAAGAGAATGTTAGTGTAGTTTCTTGTGTTTAGGTAAGAAGTAAGAGAGACAATTCAAAGAAAAACTCAGGCACAAAAGAATACTCCCACCATAATCCTCATCTTTCCCCCAAACCTGAAAAAAGAAGGGGTCAATGAATAAACTGAAGAACAATAGGACAATTCCAAAGGGCCAGCAGGAAAAAAAAAATGTTGCATGCCGTGGGGTGGCACTACCGTCTTCCCCCGAACACAACGCACCCTCATTTTGCCTGTATCGGGCCGGAAACATACTTTGTATACGTTCATTGCCATGCGGACAAAGAAAAGGGCAGATCCATGTGGACAGAGAAAAGGGCAAATTGGTCCCTTGGCCGATTTGGATGGGAAGACGGTTCGCTTGAGAACGACTACGAATTCTTTTTCCTTCCTGCCAAAAATAAAGCTGGTATACCCACTTCTCAGCATTGTTTTTTTCCTTTCAATGAGTGGGAAAGGCGTGATTGTCCCTAGGGTGATGTAGCCAATAATAGGGTTTAGGGTTTAGGGTTTTAAGAGTGTGAAGGGCTTCTGCTTGATATGAATGCAAATAGATGAACACGGTGAACCGAAAGGATTGTCCTTTTGTTCTTCAGTTTATTCATGGACCCCTTCTTTTTCCATGTCCCGAGCATCCAAAATTTTAGGAGAGGCTCAATTGGATTCCCAACTTTGCTGGGGCCCTGTACTGGTGGTTCAAACATGCACACGCGCACACACACACACACACACACACACACACACACACACACACACACACACACAGAAGCTGTGCAGTGTGCTATGGCGGATGTACTCTGGACCATCACTCTTATGCTTATGAAGAGTTTCTTCGCCAGACATCTACACTCCACCGGACTTCGCTAGATCTAGCGGATAGGGTGTGGACGTGTGCCATAGCTTTGCTATGGCGTACGTACTCTGGACTATTATTCTTATGAAGAGTGCATTCGAGATTGTTCATCCACACGAGTTTTTCCTGGTTAACCCCGTCTTGTCATTCCTGTCAGTCTGTTGACATCATCTTCGTCATCATCATCATCATCAACACACACACATACACTGATAGGGCCTCGCTCCACTACAACATTCCACATGCATTCAGTCGCTTTCCCAACTAGCTGCATTGGGGAGTCCAACATTCTGAATGTATCCAGTCGAGAAGGCATCCAAAAGCATGTGGAGTGTTATGTAGTGGAGCAAGGCCCATAGACTTTCAGAACAAAGACGGCTCTCACCAAGCTATTCCCATCAAGCATGGCTCCCACCAAACTATTCTGGATCCCACCAAACTATTCCCACCAAACACGGCTCCCACAAAGCTAACCCCACCAAGCAAGGGTCCCACCAAGAACGGGTCCCACCATGCTATTCCCACCAAACTACTCCGCCACCAGGATATATTCCCACCAAGCTATTCCCACCAAGCTATTCCCACCAAGCACGCCTCCCACCCAGCTATTCTCACCGCTGAGTGTCTCGAGACAGATGTTTGTCAAAGGGCGAAGGGTCCACTACACAGATCATTTGTAATTTACATCCTCGTCAGGACCAAAGATCAACAACGCACTGGTAAATACCACCTTCCTCCGAACACACCTTGCTCAGGAATGTATATACACACGCGATGAGGGTGCAGCGATGAGCTCGGGAGAGGACCGGGGAGGGGGTCTCTCGCTCGTGAACTACCACCTTCATCCAAACACACCTCGATCACGAATGTATACAAGCTATCTTCGGGTTCGATACACACCAGATGAGGGTGCGATGTGCTCGGGGGACTACCAGGGAGGGGGGGGGAGGGGGGGGAAGGTCTGCCATTATCCTTCCAACACGTCTATAGCTTGCCAACGCGGTCTTAAACTGCCATCTTCTCCCGAGCACGCCACTATCAAGAATCAATACAAGCTATCTTGCCGCTCCAACACAATTCCAACACGTCTATAGCTTGCCAACGCGGTCTTAAGCTGCCGTCTTCTCCCGAGCACGCCTCTATCAAGAATGCATACAAGCTATCTTGCGGCTCCAATACAATCAAAAGATGGTGCGTTGTGTTCGCGAGAAGACAGGTCAAGCGAAACACGTAAACTACCGCTTTCTACCACTTTCCCCCAAATATTACGATAATTATAGCTGTATTTGGGGCGACTTTCAGTCTAGATAAAGGGCTAATGACTGCGCGTTCTATTTCCAAGAAGATGGTAGCAGTCATGGGAATCTATGACGACCTGTTGATCCTGAGGACCATCGATGATGATGATGATGACAATGAATGCATACGAGCGATCTTTCTGGTCTGATGACGATAATGATGATGATGATGATGATGCTGATGCTGATGCTGATGCTGATGATGACGATGATGAATATACACGACAATGAATGCATATGAGCAATCGTTCCGGTCCGATGACGATGATGAGGAGGAGAAGGATGAGTATACACGACGATGAATGTATATTAGCGATCTTTCCGGTTCCATGATGATGATGATGATGATGATGATGATAATGATGATGATAAGACGATGATAATGATGATGATGATGATGAGAGGAGGAAAATAAACGACGATGAAGATAGGGATACATAACGCCACTGAGTGTAATGACGATGGACAAAGTGCACAGCAAGATATCATGATAATGATGATGATGATGATGATGATGATGATGGTGCTGATGATGATGATCATCATCATCATCATGGTGACTAACTCATCAAGATTGTCGCAGGTGGCTATATGACTGAATGCGATCAGCACAAGAAAGAGAGATGACGACAACAACAAATTATGGTCGACCCTTTGGAGAAAAGGATATCAAATGTAGTCTACCGTCCTCATGCAAAATATAACGTACGGTAATTACGCCTGGATTTGGGCCAACTTTCGGTCCAGATACAGTGATAATGAATGTACGTTCTATTCGGGAGACGGCGGGTAGAAAGGGGCGAACAGACAAAAACCTTTACCGAGGGGCCTAGCTCAGTTGGTACACCGATGACGACAACATAATCCTGACAAAACTCGACAACACTCACGCGTTTTTTTTTTTTTAAGAATGAAAATACCGTTATTAAACAGAGAGCTGAGCCTAACTCGACAACACTCACGCTTTTTTTTTTTTAAAGAATAAATACCGTTATTAAACAGAGCTGAGCCTGCACGCTCACTCGTTACACGTATTCTTTCGTTTTTTCAAAGAACTGCAAATAACGACAAACAGGTTCGCTCACTGCAATGGAAGTGGGGAGGGGGGAGGGGGGGGGGGGGGGGGTGGAGGGTGGACAAAGAAAGGGAGCTCGTTGCGAGGGCAATCCTGAGAATAAAAAGGAAAAATTAGAAAGCAAGAATAAAAGATAATACACGTGTCAATGATACCAACCCCGGTCAGCAATAGTTATAGCTGCACATGGTGGTGCTTAACACAAAACGCAAAAGACAAGTTCTCTTAACATGAATGCAAACGACGAGTACAAATTAGCACAGAGTTTTACGTAATAACACAGAAACTAAAATAAATAAATAAATAAAAACGAAAGCAAAAACAAAAAAAAAAAACAGAATAAAATCACAATTTCCGTACGTCTGTCTCCATTCACGATTAGGAAGACGATGGTAACCACGTGCGTCTTTCTTTTTTCTCCTTTTGTTTTTTTTCCTTTGTTTTTTTTCCTTTGTTTTTTTTCCTTTGTTTTTTTTCCTTTGTTTTTTTCCGCCTTCCCCTTCTTTTCCCCTTTCCTTTCTTTGCCTCTACCATTTCTCCATTTATGCGTTTCAGCCTTGCGCAGGGGACATGCTAGTCAAATCTTCTCGGTATCGTTCCAATTTTCTTCTTGTTTCCCTTCTTGGAAGTTTTCCCTTTTTTTCCCCTTTCTGCACGAACACAGCAAAAGGAACTCGCGGCACGTAACAACAACCACATCTCTTCTTTCCTGTTCATTATTTTTTTTTTAGCTTCTTTTTTATTCCACTTATTCTGGTTACGGAGCGCACTCTCTCTCTCTCTCTCTCTCTCTCTCTCTCTCTCTCTCACACACACACACACACACACACACACACATACCGTCCGACAAAACAGTCTGGCACAGTCATGTTTTTATTTTTACAAGGCACACACACACACACACACACACACACACACACACACACACATAAACGAACGTGCATTAATCTACTTCGTCTGACAAAGACTCGATTTCGTTTGTTGTCTATTTTTTTAACGTGACCACAGCATCCCGATCTGAAGCCACGTAAGTTCAAAGTCTGGGTGCCTTTGGTCTTTTTTTCAATGGAAATAGTAAATACTATAAATAAACTGTACGCGCAAAGGCGGGGCTTATAAACACGTTCTATCGTTCCTTTACAGAGCGCGTCTTGTCCGTACGATCCTATACTCAGAGCACGACACTTCCACGATAAGGCCCCGTTGCACGAACTAGATTACGATGATCAACGATTTTTTCTTTACGACCATTGATTTCGATGATCAACGATTACTTCCTTTTCCGACCGTTGATTACGATGATCAACCGCTCTTTCCGTTCGACAATTGATTACGATGATCAACGGATCTTTCTTTTCGACCGCTGATCATCGCCGCCCCGTTGATCACGACGATCAACGGTTCTTTCTTTTCGAGCGTTGATTACGATGATCAACGGTTATTTCTTTTCGACGTACGTTGATGACAATGATCGACGGTTCTTTCTTTTCTTTCCGACCGTTGATCATCGCCGCCCCGTTGATCACGATGATCAACGGTTCTTTCTTTTTCGAGCGTTGATTACGACGATCAACGGTTATTTCTTTTTGACGTACGTTGACGACAAGAATCGACGGTTCTTTCTTTTCGACCGTTGATTACGACGATCAACGGGTTCTTTCTTTTCGACCGTTGATTTACGGAGACGATCAACATTCCTTCCTTCTTACCGATCGTCGATCATCGTCGACGATTCTTGACTTCCCACCATCGATTACGGATGTCGAATTAGACGACAAGAAATGAAGAATCGGTAAAAGTTGGACCTACCGGCTTTCACCCGAATAGCACGCCCGGTCATCATCATTGTACCTAGACGGAAAGTTACACCAAATGCAGCTGTAATCAATGGCGTTCTATTCGAGCGGGTGAAGACCGTAGCCACAGATGGATGGAAGCTCTTCGCTCTTCCCGGGTTCCAACCGGACATACTACCGTCTTCACCCGAATAGAACGCTCGGTAATTATTGCCGTATCTGGGCTGAAAGTTGTGCCAAATACAGCTATAATGACCGGGCGTTCTACGCGGGTGAAGACGGTAGTTAACTATCGTGTTGAACACCAGGGTCGA